GTACAGCACTGGTCTGTTAATTTGCTGTACTGAGGTAACTGGGGGTTGTTATGATGCTGAACGCTGTGCCACTGTTTTGTCAATGGCTATAATGGTTACCTATGTTGGACAGTGTTTGGTGGAGCTCCCAGATTAAGACAGGCTTGGAAGCAGGAGTGGCGTCCACTTCCTAAACAACATGCCTCTGCAAACTATGAACTTAGAGAAACAATGACAGTTATAGAACACAGTTCAGATCTTTTGTTCATAGGGTTGCTCAACTCAATGGCACTTGACAAGTCTTCAATACCAGCAATAATAAATGCTAACAAATAAGCATATATATAGACAGACAAAACAGACAGACACACACACATACACACAGAAAATGGACTGCTATATCAACTGCCATACAGAGGTTTGTCAGATGATACTATTACATTCACATTTGTTGTTAGGCACTGTTGAGTCAGAACGGACTCTGGCCCTCTAGGTAGTCTTCAGAGGCAATAAATCACATCGGGGGCAGGGACATTGTCTATCTTTCTCCCTCGGAGCAGCTGGATTTGAATGGTGTGCCTTTAGGATAGCAGCCAACTCCCTATCACTAAGCTACCAAATATTCATGTGTCTGGTTGAGCCAATAGGGGTCAAAGCTGTGCCAATGTCTCAATTATAACTGAACACTTTGAGGGAATGAGTTGTTGGTCCTGGTCTGGGAACCACAGTCTTGGGGGACATGAAGGTCAAGTGACATACACAGTCTACAGAGACAACGCTCTGTTCCACTTTGTGAGCAGCCATCTGAGGTGCAACTACTCAGAACTAGGGAGAGGAAAGAGAAAGCAAAGATGTAAAGACACAATGAGTCCAAGGGACTGAAGCACCACAGCACATCCACTCCCATGACCCTGAAGACCAGAAGAACAAAGCGGCACTTGGCTACCACTGCTGAGCACTTTAAAAGCAACCGATCAAGGAGAAGTTGCCTGGAATGCAGAACAAAACAAATAAACAAAGCCATCCTGGTGAAATCCCTGATGTGATGACTCAAATCCCAAAGAACCCAGAAGAGAACTCACCCTTTTGCCTCAACTTTCAGTCAATGTTTTTAGGTGTTTTTTTAAAAGTACCATTGAGGCGAGCTCTGGTGGCCTAGTGGCAGGAAACCGCACTGCAATCCTAGAAGTGCATGGTTCAAATCCACCAGATGCTCTGCTAAAGGAGGAACAATCGCCTCCTGTACCAATCAGATCCAATTTGACGGTACACACATAAAAAAAAAAAGAGAATAAATAAAAATTATTATTATTTTTTTTTAAAAAGTACCACTGAGTTGGAATGGACCCAGAGCTAACCCTCCAGTGGGTATTCAGAGGCAGTAATTTACACGGGAGGAAATTGTTCATCTTTCTCCTGTGGAGCAGCTGTTGGATTTGAACTATGTGCCTTAAGATTGGAAGGGCAGCTCCTTACCACTAGACCACCAGAGCTTGGGGTACTACCTAGTCCACTGCAACTCACACCAACCCCATGTACAAGAGAACAAAATCTGCCACATCTTGTGCCATCTGCATAGTCTCTGCTGTGCTTAAACTTACTGTTGCGAATACTACTGTCCATTCATCTCACTGAGGATCGTTCTATCTTTCACTGGCCCTTTTTTTCTTTCTCTAGGGACATGTAAAATAATAAACAAGCTTATAGGGTGAACAGTAATGTCAGGGAGGTACTGACTCCTTAAAATAACCAAGCAGGTAAGGCTGAAGGAACAGCATGGCTCCAAGGATAAAGCCCAGGGAACACACAGGAGTGTGGTAGAATAGAAGAGTGAATGGAAATGACTATCACAGGGACCAAGTGGAGAGCCTGACTATACTGTAGTGACTTTATTTTGTATAAGAAAACAAAATGTGTATGAATGTAAAACCAATTTGCTTTGTAAAGTTTTACTCAAATCACAATAAAAAAGACCACAGTTGGGAAGAAGGTCAAGCTTCCTTGTCTGGTAGAGGTCGGATTCTAGGACAGAAGTGTGGAGTGTGATGACACTGTGTGTATTATATTAAATGCTATGACTCAAAAATGTAGATTGATGCTTGATGGGAAAACCAATTACCTTTCACTCAAATCACAATAAAACCCCACACAGTTACATCAGAACCTCAAGGTGCGGCAGGACACTCAGCATCGATCAACGATGAGGCTGAGGGTGTTTGTGCTGACTAAGCTAGCTGAGCACTGTTTGACTTGGGATGTGTTGACTTTGGAAAACATACAACAGGAGCTTAGCACCAAAGTTCACATTGCCATTTTGCTGGTGGTCAGGGTTGTCTTCACTCTGCAGCTTTGCGTGTAGGAGCAGCACAAAGGTAGGTCCACCTTGAGGATTTCTGCTGAGTGTAAAATTCTATGATCTTTTAATAGGTGCTTCATTTCTCTAACAACTACAAATTCAAATATTTCCATACTATCTTGGAAATGGAAAGAAGTTTTTGAAAATATGGTTACTAGAGAGCTGTCAGTGACTTTACTGCGACAATTGACAAGATTAGCCCATGAACTGTAGAAAAGGGGGAAAGGAAAGCATTATGTTTATATGGTAACATTTTGTTTGAGAACTCTACTGTGGTTATGACAAGGCCCTTGATCAGAGGTATCATCTCTCAAGTGTCAGCGTTAACGTCAACAGAGTTCATGATATGTGCAACCTACTTCCGAAGAGTTCAGAAAAGAATAGCAAGTGAGTATGTAGGTGTGCGTGCATGTAGACACAGACACTAACACTGAAGTGAGTGTACAGGCATGTACACAACATAGACACATAAGAGACTGTGCAGGTGTATGCGTGTACACACAGACACACAAGTGAGTGTGCAGACATGAGTGCAAGTACACACACACAAGAGAGTGTGCAGGTGTATGTGTGAGTACAAAGACATACGAGTGTGCTGACGTGTGCATGTACACACAGACTCAGACACACAAACACAAATAAAGGTCTGGTAAAAAGTGGATAGGAGATGTTTTTAACACCATCCTTGTTATCTTTATCTAAGTCTTTTTTAAAAATAAAGTGTTTACCCCATCAATAAACGAATGGATAGAGAAGCTGTGGTATATTCACACAATGGAATACTATGCTGCATTGAAAAACAAGGAATTCATGAAATATTCAAAATGGGTGACCCTAGAGGACATTATGCTCAGTGAGATATCTCACTTACAAAAGGACAAATACTGCATGGTGCCACTGTTATAAAGCGGGACTGACATCGGGGTTGGGGGGCAGACTAAGATGGGATAAATTATGTATACTGTATTGAAACAGATGAGAGAGAAAACTATTTAAAAGGGATATATGATTAGGTATTATTGTCATGACAGGAGTCCAGAACAAAGGCTGCATAATGGAGTGGACTTAGGGGGAAGGCGGGAGGAGGTTGGGCAGGGAGAAAAGTGCAACAATGAAACCCAAAGTATGTGTAAACTTTCATTACAATTAGTTTGGAAAAAAAAGTGTTTACAAATCCAGTCAGTTATGTCTTTCATACCCTGTCTGCTATTTGGGTTTGGTCACCCAGAAGGGGTGAGGAAAATCACCAAAAAGTCCCTCCTGCTCCCTTCAATTAATACATTAAAGAAAGCACCAGATGAAATTCCCACGGAAACAGAACTTCTGAATGATTATCCTTTAAAAAGAATGGTCTCTTCAAACACATTCATTCGACTCTAAACACAGCTTAAACCTAATGCTCATTTTTAAATGTTTCATGCAATTTTTGTAGTTGCTGTTGCTATTATTGTACCAACTTGGAACTAAACCACAACTGACCTGACGACAAGTTTTCAGAGGCTATAAATTGCATGGAAGGAGAATGTCTTTCTCTATGGAGCACCTGGTGGATTTGAACCGTGTCTTTGGGTTGGCAGCACAACTCAACATCACTAGGCAACCAGCATTCCCAATTTTTGTGGCAGTCAGCAGCAAAAGCAATGAGCCTTGGTGGTGGTACAGAAGTTAAAGTATTTTCCTGAGAACTGAAAGTATGTTCAAAGTCATCAGCTACATTCCCCCTCTCCCCACTAAAGGAAAAAAAAAAGAGCTAAAAGAAAGAAAGAAAGAAAATTAAAAAAAAAAAAAAAAAAAAGCCATTTGCTTCCCTCCAGGGCAGTTCCATTCTGTTCTAGTTTCCCAAGGTGTCAGAATCAACTCAAATGGCAACGAGGTTTACGCAGAAAAACAAGGAAAGTCCTTCCAAGTCCTTTATTTTTATCTGTAAGCACTAGTTCTTTCTTTCCTCCCATGGAGGAATTAAAATAATTTTTGTCTTTTCCCACTGATCCCATGAGATCAGGTGTAAGAAGTTTCAAAATAGACTATCCAAAATACTCAGATAATTACCTTGAAGCTCTGGTAGCCTAGCAATAAGGAGCCGTGCTGCGTACCTACATACATGGTTTGAATCCAGCACCAGCTGTTCCACTGCAGATAGACAATCTCCCATGTGATTTACTGCTTCTGAAAACTCACTGGAGGGTCAGTGATGGGTGTGGTTCCGGTTCTGTGGTCCAGCACAACATCAAGGGGCTGAGAGTATCTTTATGTTTAGTGATTGATTAAAAACAGTGCTACCTACCACCACAACTGAGCCTCTTGTGTTTCAGGTTTGAAATGTTTCAAGCAGATTTTCTCACTGAGGGTCCCCTAAATTCTTTAATAATTACAAGGTTCACAGACTGTGTCAAGTATGTGTTCACTATTACTAGTTTTGGTTTTTTTTAAAAAAAAATTATACTGGTTTGCATAAAGAATTCACACACATGCATACTGTCTCTTGTCTCTCATTCTTTCATTCAGTGTTTCATATGATCACTAATATCCACTGTGTTTTATAAACTGAATCACCTCCAATCTTTTGATCTTTTAAAAGCTGTGATCTGAAATGGGTGGGATCTGGCTGGGGGTCTGCTATCGCCTCTAACTGCGTATGCTTCCTCCCTTCTAGCTAAGCTCTGTCAAAATGAAGGCCGTGCTTCATTCACTTGTCATCTCTCTCATCATGATGTCCTCACATGGCAGGGATCTGGGCCCAGGGGACCAGCTGGCCAACCAAAGCCTGGGTACGCCCCTCCTCCCTGCCAGCTTCCACAGGGAAGACACGGTCACCAATGTGTGGATGGAGGAGGGAGAGGATGATGATGACTACCTGGACCTGGAGAAGATCCTCAGCGAGGACGATGACTATATTGACATCATTGACATCGTCCCGCCTGTGGACGTGGGGACAAGCCCTGGCAACATCCTCCAGCTCTTCCAAGGCAAGAGCCGCATTCAGCGTCTCAACATCCTCAATGCCAAGTTCGCCTTCAACCTCTACCGGGTCCTGAAGGAGCAGGTGGGCCCTGCTGAGAACGTGGTCACTGCGCCCGTAGGCATTTCCACTGCCATGAGCATGCTATCTCTGGGCCTCCAGGGTGAGACCCACGAGCAAGTGTACTCCACACTGCACTTCAAGGACTTTGTCAATGCCAGCAGCACGTACGAAATGCTGACGGTCCACAACCTCTTCCGCAAGCTCACTCACCGCCTCTTCAGGAGGAACTTTGGCTACACGCTGAGGTCAGTCAATGACCTCTACATCCAGGAGCGATTCCCCATCCGGCAGGACTTCAAAGCCAAAGTGGAAGAGTACTACTTTGCGAAGGCCCAGACAGCTGACTTCTCAGACCCAGCTTTCATAGCAAGAACCAACCACCACATTCTGAAGCTCACCAAGGGCCTCATCAAAGATGCGCTGGAGAATATAGACCCAGCCACAGAGATGATGATTCTCAACTGCCTCTACTTCAAAGGTAGGAAACAGCTGCACGTGCTCCCAGAGCAAACTCACAGCATACACTTTCAGTATGTGGCTGGAATGAATGCCATCGACAGTAGTGTAGCTGTCCCTAAGCCAGGAAATCTCACGGGTCAGGGGGCAGTGGATACCATGGTGACAGAAGCAGGGCTGACATTGACTGAGTCCTCACTCTAGGTTGGAAGATGCACCAGACTCACTGTGACCATGTGAGAGTGTCACCACTGCCAACTTCTCCATGGCCCAGGAAGTGGGACTGTAGTTCAGCTTCTGATCACTAGAGTCATCGGAGCTCCCTGATGTCACAGGAAGTAAAGGAAGCCCTAGGGATGAAGCTGGGGAAGGGCAGGGCCACAAGGGGTCCCAGGGAGACCACTTCCAGCATAGGACTTTGAACCACTTTAAAGTCGATGAAGTAATGCAACACCCGGGCACTTTCTGCCAAGTGGATTTGCATGGCTTCTCTTTTCTCTGTTTTTAAATAAGCAGTAGCATGGATAAAAGGCTGAAGTAACAGGTCTGAAAATGGTTCAGAGCAAGTAACTGATGTCAATGCCTGCTAACCTTTACTGGTACTTATTTTTTATTCTGGGCCAGGTGTGAGGCTTTTTTAAAAAAATTGTTCTGTACCATCCAACAGAGTGTGGAAACTATAGAACAATATCATTGATTTCACATGCAAGCAAGATTCTACTGAAGATTATCCAAAAACAACTGGAACAGCACATCAGCAGAGAACTGCCAGAAGTCCAGGCTGAATTTAGAAGGGGTCGTGGTACTAGGGATATTGTAGCAGATGTTAGATAGATCTTAGCAGAAAGCAGGGACTACCAGAGGAATGTCTATCTGTGTTTCATTGACTATGCAAAGGTGTTTGACTGTGCAGATCATAACAAACTGTGGCTGACTCTGAGAAGAATGGGAATCCCAGAACATTTAATTGTGCTAATGCAAAACCTATACTTGGACCAGGAGGCAGTCGTCAGAACAGAGCAAGGGAAAACACTGCATGGCTCAAAATTGGGAAGGGCGTACGCCAGGGATGCATCCTATCTCCATATCTTTTCAACCTGTATGCAGAACAGATTATCTGGGAGGCTGGGCTCTCATGAGAAGAAATGTGGTGTCAGGATTGGTGGAAGATCTATGAACAATCTGCGTTATGCAGATGACACAACTCTGCTTGCTGAAACTGAGGAGGACCTGAAGCGCCTGCTGCAGAGGTCAAGGACTGCAGCTTCGAATATGGATTGAGGCTCAATGTCAAGAAGACAAAGATTCTCACCACTGGACCAATTGGCAGCATCAGGATGGATGGTGAAGAGATTGAGATTGTTAACATTAGTTTGCTTGGCTCTACAGTCAAAACTTGGCACCAGTAGCCAGGAAATGAAAAGGTGTATTGCCATGGGAAAGTCTGCTGTTAGGGACCTCTCCAAAGTACTGAAGAGAAATGGTGTCTCTCTAGAGAGTAAGGTCTGATACCGGCCATGGTCTTTGCAATCACTTGTTATACATCAGAGATTTGGACAATGACTAAGGAGGATAGAAGGAGAATTGATGCCTTTGAGCTGTGGTGCTGGAGAAGAGTATTGAGAGTACCATGGACTGCTAGGAAAACAAATACATTCATCCTGGAAAGAGTTAAACCAGGCTGCTCCTTGGAGGCAAGGATTCTGAGGCTTCGTCTGACATACTTTGAACTGTTGTAAGGAGGGGGGGGTCCTTGGAGTGGGACATCATGCTTGGTAGGATGCAAGGACAGCGCAGGAGGGGAAAGACCTCTATGAGGTGGATCAATTCAGTGATTGGGATAATCGGGATGGGAGTGTCAGAGACAGTGTGATTGGCACAGGACAGAGCAGAGTTTAGGGCTGTTGTACATAGGGTTGCTATGAGTCGCAAGCGACTCAACGGCACATAACAACCACCACCACCATCAAATCAGATCCAACTGGCACAGGAGATTGCCCCTTCTCTAAGCGAGCATCTGGTGGATTCGAACCATGTGCCTTAGGGATGGCAATGAAGCTTCTTGCCACTAGGCCACCAGCGCTCCCTCGAGGGCATTTTTTTTTTTAAATTACTAAGTAAATGCTGATTTTCTTATTTTAAACTGTGTTTCACACTACTCTTCATTCATATTCTATTTTATATGATCATCCCCATGCATTATTTTATAAACTCAATCACCATTGGATTTTACCCATCCTAACCCAATCTTTTCAAGTCTCTACTGGATCTTTCCAATTTCTTTCACCACCTCCATCCACCCACCAAACTGCACAACCCTGTGGTTTTACCCCTAATGATGTGAGGGCATTTTTGAGCAGCCAACATGGTCCCCAGAATCGTAGGTCTAAATGGCCACAGCCCCTTTAGAACAACTATCCCTGAGATGAGATCCAGAAGAAGCTGCATTACTTTCCACAAGGCTAGAATTTTTGGAAGGTGTGAATCCAAATTAATCACTGTTTGGATAGTGACCCATGGTGAACATTGTGCTCCACAGCGTTTTCCTCAGCTGCAAGTCACGAAGTTTGTGTTGTTAGGGGCACTGGGGCGGGGGGCCTTCCAGTCAGTTGTCAAGGATGCCATTTCAGTCAGAACCACAATCAAAACCCATGGAAGCAGCAGTCACAAGTGAAAAAACATATTGTATGGGGCGAATCTGTTACAAGATCCGTCTTCCTACAGTATTCAAAAGCAAAGATCCCATCTGAAGGACTGAGATGGGCCTAATCCAAGCACAGTATTTTTAATCACCTCATGTGCATTAGGATTGGTGGACGATCTAGCAACAATCTGCGTTATGCAGATGACACAACCCTGCTCGCTGAAACTGAG